TCTCTCTACTCTTTGGAAAGTGGGAAAAGACCTAAAGATAGCTTAAGTTAAGTGCATTTAATAAATGGAAGTGTGCTAGAAAAAAAAGATTTAGGAAGGATGTTTGAAAGGAAGAAAACAGCAGTGCAAAGACACAAAGAAGTGATGAGTTTCAAAAATGTCAGAAGTGAATTGGGAAAACTGATGGTAGGTGTGGCCAGAGAGATAAATTGAGGCCAGATTGTGAAGTGGCTGAGGGATTTGTACTTCATCCTGTAGACAGGACATCTTGGGTATCTGGGAAGGGTTTTGAAGCAGAATTACATGAAAAGGTTTATGTTTGAGGAAGCTGACTGCTGGCTGTGCGAAGGATGGGCTGGAGAAGGGAAAAATTCAAGGCGGCCAGACGTTAGGGAGTTTATTGTAGTATTGCAGCAAATACAGTGAAGACTTGCGCTGAGACAGTGGAACAGAAAGAGATCCAAGAGATATTTGAAAATAGAATTTGTTGCTGATTTAGTACACAGGCAGTAAACTTCACAAGGCAGAAGTTTTCTGTCCTGTTTACTGAGATTCCCTGGGACATGAAGTCATTGTCTAAATGAGTGAAGGAATGAACGGACAAGAATGAACAAATGAATTAATATATGAATGAAACCAACCTCTTCTTTGGCCTGTAACTACCCTGAAACGATCTGATTATAGACTTGTCAGGCAAATTTAAGATTTAAAATGTGAGTCCTTTGAAAGCCGGGAATATATCTGTTTTTCTCATCACTGTTCTCAGCTCAGCTTGGCATATAATAGGCACTCTTTTTTTTTGGTACCAGGGATTGAACTCAGGACCTTGCACTTGTGAGGCAGGTGCAGTGCCACTGAGCTAAATCCCTGACCCAGCCCCCATTAAATATTCACTAAATTAATGAATAATTTTTTGCTCAATGTTTGTTTATACATTTCAGTTTTGCAGAATTATCCTTAGGTGTTGCTAAGAAACTATTTTCTTATATAGAAGATTCAGAAGGGAGATTTTAAAAAATCATTGTAAAATAGTACATTATTCTTTTCAGGCTAGTGATCTAATTTTTTAATGGATATATTAAAATTTAGAGTTGCTTATTTAAATGAGTATTAAAAGTAAGAAATGATTGTCTCATAATACCTGCAAAAGAAGTA